TTCTTCTTTTTATTTTTATTTTGTCTTTCATATACAGCTTTGATTGATTCATCATTTTTGCATAATTTGTCCAACTTGGAAGAGGTGGGATCAAACTCTTCTCCCTTCTAAGTTTCTTCAAGGCTTGGAAAACCAACCCTCTTAAATGTATGTCACTGTCTGGTTGAGCCGATTGGCATCCTGTCTATGCATATTAAATTAAATTAAATCCATCGAGTTTACAATTTTGTAACCAATCTATTTTATTTCATTTCATTTTTGCATGAATATCTATTCCCACTAGCCTTGAAAAAATTATCTTATTCAAAATTTTAAGAATTTTGTACTAGTAAATTTTATTCCCTTTTATCTTTCATCAAATAATTTTTTCAAATATTTTTTTTAGTGGTAAATATAATTAATATATTCATTTCTAGGTAAATAAATTTAATTAATATAAATGTTTTAAAGATAATAATTAACATTATATTAAATTTAATATTGATTCTTTTATGGCATTTAAGTTTTTGACTTATTGATTGATGCATGATCTTTTTGCTTAAAAAACAAAGTTCAAATCCCCTTCCTCCAATTAAAAAAAAATTGATTCCTTTATTAAAATTCTCAACTCCATCCCAATTAAATGTGGTTACACAAACTATATACATATATTATATTTGAGACTTATTTATTAAAATATGATTTGATCGATATTCATTTTTTGCCTTTTGCTTTATACTTTTTGTTATTGGTCTTTTATTTTTTATTCATTTGTTATTTTTTTCCTTTCTGTTCATATTTTACAAAAAAATAAAATAAAAACAAAACACCAACCAAATAAAATCTAAATACTACTTTTTTTGTAGTTATAAACTTCTTGTAATTTGCAACTGTCTTTCAGAAACATAATTGGTAACTTTTTTGCTGAACAGAATGGCAAAATTTGACAAGTTTGGAAGAGTTGACCTTGATAAATTCATCTCTCCCTTCCAACTTTATTCAAGATATTAGAACACTGACTTCTCTTAAAAAGTTGGACATTGCAAACTGTAAGGTGAACGGCAGCCTCTTTATGAATGGTAAGTTAGCTCTTTCAAATTCCAGTTATTAATTCATTGTATTTATTTCATTTTTTGGATTGAATACATATCTCTTCCCATTGACCAGTCAAATAATCATTTATTCAAAATTAAAAGAAATCTTTTTAATGAACGTTCCAAATTTTTAATAGTAAATATGACTGATTATAAGTCCATTTGTAAATTGTAATAGACCTTTCCCTAGACCAAAAAGAAAAAGAAAAAGAAAGTACAACAGCTTAGTGAATCTAGTGAAGCTATGATATTTAGTGGATCTTCCCATTTAGGCTTACAAAATTTTTCTTCTTGTTTGATTTCATGGACATGCTTCTTTTAAAGAATATATAGACAACTTAGTCAACCATTCATTAATTAGCTCATACCATCATATATTAAGGTTTTAAATTGTATACTCACCACATAAATATTAATAGGCTATTTTTCTTAGGTGCAAAGATAATATTACAATAAACTTTAATCATGAAACAAAAACATAGTAAGTGATATAAAAATTAATTTAATTAATTATGATATCCAACATTCCATATCTCATATGAATATAATTGTTAAGATCTATATAACAATTCAAGTCTACCATTACTAGCAACTTGAGCTTAAGCTTTTGAGTGTCACGTGGTTTTGATCCAAAAAACTACTGGGCTAGTGATTAGACTTGAGTCATTATAAATAGTATCAAAGTCGGCACCAATCTGATGTGAGCTTTTATATTACTCTGGTGAGATCTTAGTCATATAGATGTAATGTGTAATCTTGACAAAATTTGATAAGTTTGAAAGAGTTGATTGTGGAATTTTCATCTCTCCCTTCCAACTTTATTCAAGATATTAGAGCACTGACTTCTCTTAAGAATTTGTTCGAGTTTGATTGTGAGGTGAATGACGACATCTCTATGCATGGTTATTGAGATCTTTTAATTTTTCAGTTATTAATCCATTTTACTTATTTCATTGTTTAGATTGAATGCATATTTCTTACCATTTGTCATTCAAATAATCATTTACTCAAAATCAAAAGAACCCCGTTTAATGAATGTTCCATAAAATTTTCAGTAATGTATATCACTCCTAATAAGTCTATTTGTAATAGACCCTTCCCCGCACCAAATAAAAAAGAAAAAAATAAATAAAACAGTTTAGTAAACCTCGTGGAGCTATGATATTCAGTGGATCTTTCTATTTATATTTATGTAAGTTTTCTTCTTTTGAAGAATATATAGACAACTTGGTCAGCCTTCCATTAATTAGCTCATGCCATCATATATATATTAAGGTTTTAAATTGCATACTCATAGCATAAATATTAGTAGGTGATTTTTCTTGGGCCATAAACATAAATATTAGTCCTTTCACTTTGTTGGTATATTTTTAAATTCTTTTACTAGATTAAAAAAATTTGATTAAGTATCTTAATATTTATTTTTATATAATTGTTAAAATTGTGGTTTATGATAGGATATATATGATGATGAAAATTCGAATAGAAAGAGGTTTTCCAATTGATCATTTAAGCATAAAGTAG